CCGGCCTGCGGATGCTCAAACCCAACCTAACAGACCTGCCCTAGGTCGAGCCGTTACCAGAGGAGGAGCTGAGCGACATCAGGGTCATCATCCGGACTATCGCGCTGAACCTCAGCACTGTGCATAGTGACGCGCCGGGCTGCACTAGTGTGCGATTGAAGTGGTTTGAGACAACGGAGGTGGCGTGCTGTCTCATGTCTGGTAGGAAATACAGCATCGTGGATATTGCAGCAATTTCATATTGCGTAAACTACGCCACGAAGCCTCATTAGGTCGTGGCGCATGATGTATGTCAAGATCAGATCCTCACACCATCCTGCCAATTCATGGTACACGTGCATGACTAAAAACGATGCTTGAGCAAAGCATGCACTTCATTGTTTACACTTCGATAGCTCCACCATGGGTAGCATGGTATAGCTATCTAAGTGCTATCTAAGTATCTAAGTGCTATCATGGTAGAGCTATCCAAGTACGCAGCACGGGTAGATCTACCATTTGTATGGCAATCAGGCCCCTCTTGTTGAACGAGATTATGGTTAGCAACTCTTGTTTGAATCTTATTTTGTAGTCCAAAAATAGCACAAAGCGACTCAAATTCAGAATGTTTGCTTGACTGTGAATCAGGTCCAAAAAGACAAATACAATAGCGGGAATTTTCCTTTAAAGCGCATGTATACGCGCTTCTGTGTGCCAGTGATGTCCAGTTACATCGAAGGAACTGCATCTGGTCGTAGACGTGGTTTCATATTAGCCGTAGGCTAGCCATAACCAGATAGTTAGGATCATAGCCACAACCACCGCGTTTTGCACATTTGTAGCACTAGACCTTGAGCAACGGTACACCCATGGTTTCAGGACATTCGGGTGGTTTTTTGGAAACGTGGAAAGTGGATGCATTTCTTGTACGCGCTAGATTCTTGCACCAGGTCACTGCACAGGGGGGGGGGGGGGGCATCATGCTGCCAAAAGCTGCCTTCAGTGCTGACTCCGGTCCAACGCTCACACACCACTGTAAATTGCTTCCGCCTATGGGGTAATCAAACGCGCCAAGGTCATCTAACCTAACAAACTCGACACTACAGTGCACAAAAGACCAGACCTTCACACTTCTGCGCGACCACCACCTTCCAAGTGACGCAGTCGACGTTGCCATGCGACGCCGCCGTGCAGGCCCGCGCGTCTCTGTGACGTTACCGCCTAACGTTAACGAGTCGCCCGCCCGACCAATTTCTCAAGCAGTGATGATGGCCCCTGTTTACTTCCGCTTTGTTTACTTTCGCTACTAGCAAAAGTAAACAAAGCTGTTTGGTTCGTGTGTTCATGCTCTGAACTTATATCATGTCTATATGTGTCATAGCAAGAAAGAAAAACACAATCTCGTGAGTTCCGTGACTGTGGGGAAAGAGGTTGGTGCTCATAACGGCCTGCCAGCTTTATCCACCAGAGTTCTTGGCATAGGCCTGTGATGTGATGCCTGCAAAGTTACATTGCGAGCTGCAGTTGTATTGATTTTCTCATTTAGACGTATACGCCGGCTCATCTATGATCACCGCTCCTGATTTTACGACGGGCCAGAGCACCCTTTTATTTCAATTCAGTTTTGGAGTGAATTTCCACTCCGTGATGATATCAGCTGCGTTTATGGTACCCAATGGATGCCTTGTGAAGTACGGAGTAACTCCTTAATTCAGATGTCGCCCTTAATAGTAGAATTTTACGGGCGTAATAGTGCGCACTTTCTCCTTGCCTTAATCAACCGGATTCGAAGTAAAACCTTGGGCGTTTTCCCGTTATGAAACTGGTTACTGGTCGTTCTGCAGCGTAATGTCGTTTCTGGTTAGCATGTAAACAATGAGACGCGGCTCTCAAGTGAGCTCAACACTAGCAAAACATCATTATTTATCAGTCGAAAGCGCACAATGCCCATGTTCGACTCACAACCGGCTGCTGATGACATGCATGGGATGCTGTTTGGCCTTTCTACGTACCGTAAACGGGCTCGCTCTCCCTCGTCCCACCGTCTTTTCGTGTCGGTATCCCCGACGCACCTCAACGGTCATCGCTCACAAAACGCTGTAACGCCTCGTGTTCATAATTGTAGACATGCATAATGTATATAGAGCCTGAGCTTGCCTCGTGACGACCGGTGCGCCGAATGCTCTTAAATGTAGGACATGAGCGGGTTTGAATTTTTAGGCAAACGTGACCAAATTAAGCCTTCGTTCGCCACGTGGACTTTGCAGATAAATGCCTGCAAACTCTTTCACAATATGAACAGGTGTTTCGAACATATGCTTAAACAATGACAAAAGGTGCCAAAAGAGAAAACGGCACTATGAGACTGGCTAGCTTTCGCCGGCTAAATGGTGCAGTCTGCTTTTTGAATTCATCCGTGTAGCTGTGATAGGGAGCAGCGGACGATGCAGGCAGACACTAGCCACATCGGGGGTCTGAGCAATGCCCACGTTGAGTTTATTGCAGGATGCAAGATTTCATCTCATATGGATCATACAAAGTTAGCAGATTGCCTCCTTTGCAGTCCACGCCCCTTGATTGCCTCAACTTTTACTGACCTGCTACTCTAGCTTCCACTATCACACTTTAGGCAACCACGTTTTTTATATTGTGTTCCTCGCTTTTTTATTGCATCGAAAGTCGAAGCTGCCACTGCAGGGTCTCATAGGTAGCAGTCACTCAAAACCGCGAACGAGAAACGGAGGCTGCCGATCGGTGAGATCCATGGACAGATCTGTGCGATAACAGCCGGCCGCACCCAGAGAACGATCTCGCGCCTGGACCATGTCGATCGGCTTTAGGCAGCAGTCATGCAGAGCTGGGACCAGGAGGACCACTCCGATCAAACCTTAAGGTCTTCTGTAACTCTGCACCGACATATGACGTTGCGTTTGGGGGGTGTGAGTTTGAGTTGCGACATCGCGCATGCAGAACTATGCTGACGCGGCCTCTCACCAACTGGTGTTTTTTTTGTTTTGTTTGGTAAGTACATTGTTTAGGTCCGTGTGCTTAAAACACGAGATTTAAAAGGGGGAGCTTCATGTGTTTTTTTTTTTGGTCTGAATGTGGTTCCAATCAACGGAACGCCAGGATTTTTTCTCCGCAGAGGGCTGGACCTCTAGCTAGACCCCCTTGATCCAGCTATCCTCATTCTCAGCAGCCATCAGTATAACGAGACAGCAGAATAAGGAGAAAGCCATCACGCAAGAGCTATCCAACGCCTCAAAGCGTCAGTTCAAAACTGAAGGATCCGCAACATAATTCGACAAATTTGAGTTCTTTTCAGAAGGCGTGTGCCGTGTGTGGCTTGCGGGTTGGAAGGGTGGGAGGGCGGCCCAGTGTTTTTGGCACATACGACCTGTCCTGCGACCATTTCAATTGACCAGGGTCTGAGAATAGCACAATTGTTTTGTTTTGACCCGATTATGTGCAATACGATGCCATGCAACTGGAATTTTTGCAACCACAACGTTTCCAGTTTACGCCTGAGTGTTACGAAGTTTTGGGTTCTCTGCACCAGCCAAAGCGAGAGGTGCTGATGAAGAGCACTCACAGGTCACCGGTATGTAGCGGGCGTACGCTGCACTTTGCATTGGCAGGCGCACAATTCAATATTTTTCACTGACAACCAATCAGAGCGCGCCGCGGGAACGTGCAATTTGTAGCACGGCGTGCAACATCACGTGCCCTCGACCTAATTATTTTTACGCGGGTGCCCCAAAGTTCTTAGCGTTGTCATTTCATCGTGCACATGCTTAGTTTAAAAAAAAAAATGATTAAGGGCCACGTGCACCCGGAGGCATTGCGTGCGTTCACCCGTCCTCGTATGTACATGAGTCGTCGCTATCTAATACAAAACGAAAAATGTATGAGTGGGAGCATAGGAGAAAAAACAAGAACAAAGAAAAGTAGCAATTTTCGGGGAAACAACAGCCAGCATCAGCTCCGGTTCGGGGGGGGGGGGGGGGGGAGGGCGGTCTCATCCGAGATAAGAGGAAGAGCCCTCCCCACTTCCCTCGCCCCATCCCTGGGTGCGCCACTCGCTCCAACACAGCGTCCGGCGAAAATGGAAGGCAGCCTCCTGCTAAACGGTGGTGATCGCCACGGTACGGTGACACTATGAGGACGCCAGGAAACAACTTACACCAGTCTTATTCCTAGACTTTGACGTAGCACGACGTTTACCCTTCGCCTTCAGCCATTGTCGCTGGCGCCTTTCATCTCGGCTCCGATGCCTCCATTCCGAGTAGCGGCCCGACGTCAAACGGCCCGAGGCGGTCTGTCTCGGGCGTCACCGTCTCGGATGCCCCACCCCTCCGGTGCCACATCCGGTCAGCCAAGGCGTCCAATCGCATTGTTAGACACAATGGTGGGGGCGGAGCCAGTCAACAAGACAAAAGCCCATTGGATTACAGCTTTGTTCCTCGCCGGAATCGATAAGAATTGCCTGTCGGCGGCGGCCCGGACGACCGTTAGGGCGCCGCCGACGCGTTGTCGGCCGGCAAACTGAGCCGTAAAGGTCGGCAGCCGTGTGATTCCCGAGACTCGGACGCGGGCGCCGGGCCGCGCCGAGACAGACGGGCAGGCGCCGTCCGCCGGGCACGGGAGGCAGGTCGGTGCCGCGGGTCGTCAGTGTCGACCGCAGTTCGCTGAGAGCCCGAGCCCCCGCTGTCGCGCGGGCCGGACGGCCGCGGCCTGCACACAGCCTTTGCCACGTCGAGTCCCATAAGCCTGCCGGGCCTCGAGTCCAGCTGTTTCGCTTCCCGCTGACTTCACTTCCTCGGACTAGTCGCCCGCCCCCGCGGGCAAACCGCCGCTGTCCTGGTGTGGCGACGACACCCTGTCGCCTGCTCGCGGCCGCGTCACACCCTCAGAAGATTGCACTGCCGGCCGGCCGCCGGTCGCCGCAGTCGCCGCTCTCACCTCGCGCGCGGGCCGCGGGGCGACGCTCGCCGCTCGCTGCCATGGAGGGCAGCGTGGCTGACTGCCACATCAAGCGGCCGATGAACGCCTTCATGGTGTGGTCCCGCGGCCAGCGGCGCAAGATGTCGCAGGACAACCCGCGCATGCACAACTCGGAGATCTCGAAGCGGCTCGGCGCCGAGTGGAAGCTGCTGACCGAGGAGGAGAAGCGGCCCTTCATCGACGAGGCCAAGCGACTCAGGTGGGTGTACGTCGGGGTGAGGCTCGTTGGAGAGATCGGAGCCCATGGCGAATAACGGCGTACTGCACTTTCCAACATCAAGCTACTTCATGTCAAGGTGTTTCGGCTTATCCTGCTACTCCATTCTCTGGATGGATGCAATGATAGGCAAACATAAAAAGATCCTGTACTCAGAACCACCATATAATGATAATATCCATTAAGTGGTATCATCTGTCCATTATTCGTACAGTTTGCATCGATTATGATGACATCCATCCATCACATTCATCCAAAACTAATAATTGAATATATCGCATCCATTGTATCGGTATGGCGTCAGGTATACATAAAGACAATGACATAGTCAGCTGTGCTTCACATATAAAGATTCTATTACAGTACCAGAGCTGCCAGATCAGATCCTTTCGAAACGCCGGGCCAATGAATATGCACCACACACCTCGCTTATGCGAAGGGGCACCCACCCACCGCCCACGAAACGCAAAGTTGCATGTTTCAGTCGGTTAATTTTTCTATTTCAGTCGGTTTGCGCAGCCTTGTGACAGGCCACTCGGGCGCGTGTCCGTTTAGTGCACAACAGCTCGGCCTTTGGTGTGACATGATTCCTGCAGCAATCCGCCGCGCGGTAGTGTTAATCGTTTGCTTTACGAAGAGCCCGTTGCACAGTGCAGTGCAGTCAAGTACCGGGCCGTGCAGCGGCGGTGCAGTGCATTGGGACTATCGCCGTCTGGCCCCAAAAGCCGGGCTCCGAACGATGTCTCGGCTTCACACCGCCAGCGCCGAGCGTGAGCTTGGCTCGCAGCGAAGTCGGGAGCGGGGGTTGCTCAAACTTACACTGGAGGGCAGGGAAGGCACGAGAGTTCGGTCAGAGCAGCGCCCGTGGTGCCAGTGGCAGCGGTTAGCCTGGCGGGTGGTGGTCGGTGCTGTTCGGCCTCACTGCGCCCATGATGCATGTGGCCGTGGATGACCTGGCGGGTGGTGGTCGGTGCTGTTCGGCCCCACCCCGCCCGTGACGCCTGTGGCCACGGATGACCTGGCGGCGGGGGTCAGTGCTGTTCGGCCTCACCCGCCCCTGATGCCTGTGGCCGCGGGCGGCCTGGCGGCGGGGTCAGTGCTGTTCGGCCTCACCCCGCCCCTGATGCCTGTGGCCGCGATGACCTGGCGGCGGGGGTCAGTGCTGTTCGGCCTCACCCGCCCCTGATGCCTGTGGCCGCGGATGACCTGGCGGCGGGGTCAGTGCTGTTCGGCCTCACCCGCCCCTGATGCCTGTGGCCACGGATGACCTGGCGGCGGGGTCAGTGCTGTTCGGCCTCACCCGCCCCTGATGCCTGTGGCCGCGGATGACCTGGCGGCGGGGTCAGTGCTGTTCGGCCTCACCCGCCCCTGATGCCTGTGGCCGCGGGCGGCCTGGCGGCGGGGGTCAGTGCTGTTCGGCCTCACCCGCCCCTGACGCCTGCGGTCCCCGCCTCGGGCGTGGACGACAGACAGGTGACCAGGGCTGGCCAAACAAGGTGAATGTCACGGGGGATGGGCAGACTGCCTGGCCTAGCGAGCGGTGTTTCCGGCGACGTGAACTGATCTCTGCCTCTATTGTATGGCCGCCGTAACGCACGAATGTGAACGTGAACATTCTGCTTGCCGGCTCACCAGACACTACTGCGTCTTCTGCTTGCCGATAGCTGAGGCGGACGCCAGTTCATCTGTCAACTTGCCATCACTTCCCAGTCAGTTCACTTCACATTAGCTGCTCACGCGCTCGAAAGAACGTACCCAGCACTGTGAGACACAGGCCTGCATATTTGTAATATTTAGTGTTATGTGACGACCGCCAGTCTTCTCAGTGACGCCGTGCGGTTTCGTCACCGACAATCGTGGTCGTCTACGAAGCGCGTCTCCGCGCACCTGCCTTCCCCCCCCCCCCCCCCATACATGACCATGTGTAGGCGTCAGTGACGCTGCCAGCTAATGTCTGGCCTGTTCTGTGTACTGGCGCCGCCCACTTTCGGTGCCGGGCGTCGCTGAGCGGCCGGTCAGTTCCCGACTGCGGTGACCTGTCGCTAACCTCCAACGCCGGGAGGGATGGGGCAGCCCAGGTTCCGGTCCCCTTCACACCGGTAGTTTACCAAACAAGCTCTTTCGCGTGCAGCGAGCGTAATCTGAGCCTTTGCGCCCGTGCTTTGTACTTTCAGGCCTGTATCTGGGACGGAATGATCGGGTCTGGCCTGGCCTGATTTCCACTGAGTGGCGTTTGTATTTACAATGCTAAAACCTATGCAAAGCTCTTTATCTATCACTTGCGTCATCTTCGCCGACGCGAATGACAGTCGCGTCATGCAGAGTTCGCGTCCATGCGATAGTTCGATTGCTGTGCTGTCGGCACGCTCACCAGCTCTGGTTTCCGGTGCATTTCTCTGTTTATGTTTGGTAGCGGATCCGGGATTTCGTCAATGGGGTGGCCACACAATACTGTGACCCCTGGAGTTTGGGTCCCTCCCAAAGGTCCTCGGATTTCGGCTATTACACTTCACGGCTGTAATGCTTGCTGTTTTTTGTCAAGGAAACCAGTGCGTATCCTTGTGAAACTAGGCATTGCTGCGTGTGTACATACGTTAAGCGCGTTCATTTTCTCCACATCACGGTGGATGCTTCCATTTGAGGCTATGTCACTTGGAGAAGATGCGGCAATATGAGTTAGAGTTGATTGCTAAATAACATCAAAATGAAGCAATACGTTTGATTCCAAGCTTGCTTGCGGCTAGTCGGTTTTCTGCGGCTTGTTGGCTTGCCCATGCGATCAGCTGTGGGCTAATAGCCAATCAGAGTTTTTGTTTTGACTGGTGCAAAGAAGTACGAAATACGCTAGGACTTAAACTATGTTAAAAGTGTGATGCACAAGTATTGTGCATGGGATAAGTTACATACGTAGGCAAATAATAAACAACCAAAGAAAATGAAACATGTTAAGTCGGCAACGCGTGAAATTACCTTAGGAATTGCGCGTAGAAGGTCGTCAAAACAATCGTGGCTGCTGCTATCTGCGACCAAGGCGCCAAGGAAAATCAACATCGTGTAGATATCGGACTGATGTGCACGGCACAACCTAGCCAAGCCCGTATACACGAGCAGACAAAACATCATGAGCGACGAAAGTGCAGACTCGCAAACACGTGAGATTTTCGGCAACAGAGTAAGGTCCTGACCTTACGTAAGGTCCCGACCTCACGCTAAGAGCCCAGTGCCATGTGAAGGATCCCGAACCGATCAGGAGTTCCCCGGTCGATTAACATGAGGGGCTCCCTTAACAGCGTAGGCCGTCTGATTACATGGGAAGCCCAGTACCGTTAAGGACGGCACCTGAGCGATCGAGCTAATCAGGCCAACGAAGAGGCTGCCGTCGACAGCGCAGGGCCCTCAGAGCAAGCGAGAAGAACCTAAGACCAATGCGATGGGGCATTGGACGGTCGGGAGTGCCCCGGAGGGTTAACACGTAACCCCCGGCCCTGTTTTTCGTCACTATGAGCCTAATAGCATGGTTGGGAGCTTTTTTTTGGATTCACGTGTCTTTTTCCGGTGAATATAATGCTGAACCTCTGAACCCGTATTACTCTGGATCATGCGCACGGTTCAAAATATTGAGTGCTGTTAATATAAACTGCTGTTCAGCAATGCGTCATTTGACCAGCACCGCCCAGTATCTTGAAGGTCGTTAACTGTAAATCAGTACCTTGAACTCATTCAGTCCATGCAGTCAGCCTGGTGTCTCCCGCTACTCGCTGCAACGTGCCCCCTATGCCATCGCAGGCGTTTTTACCATGTGAGGTGGCAAAGGAATTGCATTATTCCACTCGCCTATGATGACTTAGTACTCTGGTGATGACATAGGTTGATAAAATTGTTCTTGCGCTTGTACTGACTCGAACACCCGTCTGTAACGTCGTGCACCTTGCACTGACCAGGGTGTTCTAGGACGACGTGGGGCAGACTATGAGGCAGAAAAGTCTGTACTACAATGTTTGTGTGCCTCAGACAATCGGACAAAAAACAGAATCCCTGAGGTTTTAGCGAACGCAAGTAAAGTACGAAAAGGTGCACGGTGCACGACGCATTACCCGAGTTGAATCCCGAGGTAGTCAACTCTACCCGAGTTGGGCAGAGTCCTGCACGAACAAGAGCAATTTTCTGAGAAATATCTAACCAGCACCGCTCATGCCATGTGACGGCTTTTGGATGAAGTAAGCGCTTTGCCTGTCAGCAGTTTAGCGATGATGAGTCTGAGAGCCATCCTGCGGCTTAGCGGGGTGTTGTATTCGTCCATAGGCTCGTCCTTGGCTGCCATGGTGCAGCGGCCAGGTGAGACCCACCGCTGAAAACTGACGCCACTGGGATGGGGCTGAGCGCTATTCAGAGTCTTTCGATACTCACAGACCTCCTCGCACAAGTCCTGGCAGTCATGTCATAGACAGCGTTTCGCATGACATCTTTGCATGTCGCACTCTCTGCCCCAAGTGCAGCCAGCTGCAGCTTAGAGTGGTGGTGATGCGTGAAGGCGCACTCGCAGTAGGTTTCACTTTTTTCCTGCTAACACGCATTTTCTAGGACGCAGTTTCGCGGCCGTGGAGAAATATATACGGGATTAAATGGATCCTCCTGAAATGCCAAATAGATTTCCCGTAGACTGTCCCACTTAAGATGTTTTTAAATCTTTACTACCATCCCTCGCCGCTCGAAATGGCGCTTGGTCTCGCGCGCAGCGGCAGACCCAACTGATGTCTTATTCGAAGAAACCACGAACTTTCTGTTTTGTCTCCTTGCTGAGTAATGTACTTGCTCACCATGGGAGCCGCAGGGAGGATAACACGCATTTGTTTGAGTTTGTTGCTCTTTCACCATACAGGTAGGAGCTCTGAAGAACTCGGCAGTTTCGCGAGCGGAAGAATGGAGAAAGCGTATGAATGGACAACCTCCCACCATTACTGAATATGTTTGGAAACATTTGC